AAACGTACATCCCATATCAGGGGGACTTTCCATCAGCTCGGTTGTTGTGAATGCAGAAAAATTGATTTTGAATCGTTCACATGAATTCTATTTCCTTAGATAGATTTTTCATTTCCGGTATTAAATTGTTCGTATATAATTTGCCGCAATCTATTTAACCAATTTCCTCCGAAAAGACGGAACGAAGTATTATAAAATTGTGTGTACCTATAGGATGCGTACAAGAATCGGCTTACCTATCGGAATCTGTTTTTCACACCGGGAGATGGACTAAAATTTGAACTTTTCTTAGAAATTGTCTTTGTATTCCGCTCTACCCAATCTTGCTTAGGTTAGTATGTGCACGTGAGACCAGAGACCAATCTATACGAAAAATTCTTATTAATATTTAAAATTATACAAAATTATTATATTAACATTTAGAAATTTATCTGAAAGTAGCAATGGTCCACAGACCGGATTTGCTGGGCCTTGGTGAAATTTAATTCCCTTAACGAGTCATGTGGTTAGTTTTTAGTACACATGCGATCGGGCTCAATGGGAAAAACTTATCTACATAACTATGTACATATACAAGTGCTTTAAAATTATTCAAAAAATTTATATAATTTGGCTGATTTTTATTATCCAAATATTGATATTTAACAGGCGCAAGTTTCTACAAAAAAAAAAAAAATAATTTAATTCGGAAAGTGAAGCAGGTACCGGATTACATTCTTTAGATTATAAATGTTTATGATTCTTAAAAATTTTATTGATGGGGAAGACTAGGGGAAGCATGAAATTGAGCTTTGTGTAACTCTCACGAAATAAAAATAATCCATTCTAAAGCAAACTTCCCTTTAGAGCCTTCAGAATAAAAATAAGGAATGCAATAGTTTAATAATTCTTTATGATAAATATTTATTAATTTTTTAATATTAATTTTTTGCTGAAACTAAAAAGAAGAAGAGCTGCGACACATTATGTATATACTTAAAAAAGAAAAAACATAAAAAAACTATATTATTTTGTAAATATCGAGAATTATTTAAGTAAGCAACACAAAAAAAAATTTTGCTAAATTTAAAATGATTCCTTAAACTCATTTTAGAAATATACAAAATGATGACATTGCTGGATAAATATCAGAACCACAGAATTTGACTTTCGTTGCTCAATCAAGAATTTCAATTTTAGAAGTTCCTATAAGTACAGATTTTTCAGATATCAGCCCCCATTATATCGACCCATACTTGTGTTGTTTTGCTTTCTGAGCTCAGCAGTTCTATCATAGACGACTTATATGTGGCTAGACAGTTGGAAAAATAAATTTTTCTTTGATACATTAAAAGTTCGGATCGAAAAAACAAAATTGCATCTAATCTTATGCTTAAAGAACAGGACAGTACTTTAAAAAACTAAAATAAAGATAAAAATAAAATGATGCATGAGAACACCAACATCTCTAAGTGTGTATATAATAAAAAAAACTCAAAAAAAACTCCATCAGCCATTCGGAGGCGGATCAGAACCACTTGTTTTATTTAAAAAAAATAACGAAAATCACTTCAGCGGTTATAAAGTGCGAAATATTTATATACTTATATAAAGAAAAATGTTACATATGACTACTCTTCATATGCTGGAACAGTATCTATTCGTTCATCAAAATATAATCGATTCTCTCTCTTCGCTAACCATCTGCACTGAATAAATGTAAGTATAGCATGCATATAAAATTAAATAATAGTTCTGTTTATTCTTCGAAATCGGTTTACTATATCTTAAGCCTTCCCCAACCATAACTTTCATATACCATTGAAGGTACAAAGACTTCGTCTAAGCCAAATATAGCTCTTGGATTTTATCTAGTATACATTCATTGGCTAGAAGCAAAGACATTTCTTTTTCCAATTAAAACTACTTTTTTTTCACATGCGCGTATACTAGGTAGCAGCTAAGTGGTCTCCAATAAGCTTAGGATAACTTTAATGATTAATGAAATTCTTCTCACCATATTCTAACTAGGAAAATGTCAATCACTCGATGAAACTCAGTTCCCTTTTCGCACTTTGATTCAAGCAACTCAGCTGCATTTTTGGGAAACATGAAACCTTTTAGACCGCCTTGAAAAAAAAAATCAAACTACTGTCTTCTTATAATTTAAATTGAATTGTTATCGGCCTCCCGTAGAGCACCATAATCACAATTTGGATTTCTTCCGAAGTATGTAAAGCTGTGGAAGCTAACATATCAGCTCCATAAAGGTTGAGACTAGTTCCTGTTTAAATGTTGGTGCTTAAAAACGGGGGTTTTTTAGTTATGTTATTTCATATTACAAGAGCTAAGAATCATCACAATTGTTATGGTCTAAAAAATTAAGTATCCTGATGCTTGTTTGTTATTCTAGCTAAAGATAAAGGCACTTTTATGTTTCAACTATACGTCGCTAACCTGCCTCGTTAGTCAGTGAGGATTTAGTTAGTCAATTTGAAGGCATATACAATTTTTTTCGTTTTTTTTTTTAATTTACGCACGCAACAGTTTGCTTTTTATTATTATTTGAATTCTGTCATATTAAGCTAAATGCCAATTGATTTACAGTTAACTAACATTGCTTAAGCGTACTAAAATATAAATATAAAAATAACGCATAAAACATTTAACCAAACACTAAACAATTTATATAAATATTTACTTGTTGTATTTACACCGCAAGATTAGTGCAAACAAATGGCGTCGACATCATTAACTACAACAATACAGTAATAATATGCAACAACAAATTATAACAATTCAACACTAAAACAAAAATCAATTAAACGACAGAAAAATATAAGTAATAAATTAAAATTGCAAAACGGATTAGCTGGCAGTTTTTGTTATTTATATATGTATATACGTGTATGTAAGCATTTGAAGGGCACTGGGGAGATGTCAAGCGTGCCGCAGGCAACACAGCGCAGCTGTGACACGAATATACATACACAACTCTTTAGTAAAACTAACAAGCGCTGTTGCGCACGTAGATTATTATTTATTGCTAATATTAAATGAGAAAAGTAAATCAAACTAATTATAAAATTATTACACAGACCGCAAATGTTAGCCACAAACAAATGTGAATTTCGAAAGCGAAACATATGTGGCAAATACCTATTAACTTGCAACAAATATAAATGTTATATAAATTAAAGTAATATGGATTTATAATTGATAATTTTATAAGGGTTTGCTATAAAGTAAGCCAACAATATTATATTATTGATTATAACTAACATGCAGGTATTTTTATCATGAATTAGGACAGGGCGTATACGTAATATTTTTCATACGATTCCAATTATAATGGCTGTTTTTTAGACAATTTGCTTTCGAAAAGAAATAATACGCGTATAATTCAAAGGTATGGCCAAGAATTCACCTTTATTATAACAGTAAGGGTATTTCATTATGTTTCAAAAATTACTTCAGCCCAGAACCCAATTTCCCATAAAATTTTTGCAACAAATAAAGCCTTATGTAAACCAGCGAAATCGCGCCGAATATTCCCTTCCAAGCTGTCGATCGCCTGGGTTATTCGCTTAAATAAAACCCCACAAAAAAATATTCTAGCGTTGTTAAGTCACATGATTAGGGAGTGACCTCAAGCTCGCCTAAGGTTTCCTCCCGGAAATTAATTGTTTAGTGCGCTAAATAGCACGTATCGCCTTTTTATTGAAACAAAATGCCATCTTCATGGTTATCCTCTAATTTAGCGAAGCAAAATTCATTAATTATGGCGAAACAGCATTCCTATTCGACTGTAAGATTTGTACCAATGATTCCCTCCTTTCATAGAGCTCACATAACGAATAGTCGTCACTTCACATATGACAATTTTGTTTATTAAAGTGAATTAGGAACGGTGATCATCCACATTTGAGCCCATTCGGCGAACGGACGACGCACTTAATAGATGTTCGGCTTCAATGCTTTGTCCTCAAACAAAGAATCTTAAATAAAATCGATGGAATGGTTTATGAGCTTATTGGGATTTTCTTCGAATCTCTGATTCTCTTCTCTGAGTCTCTTCTCTGAGTTTCTTCTCTGAGTCTCTTCGAGGCGAACTGTAGGCCCCCATGCTGTGCATTGACTAATTGCTTAAATTAGTTGTATTCTTCTAAATAAAAAATTCATAAGTTTTTAGTATGACTATTCATTGAAAAGACGTTATTCCAAAAATTAGCAACCAAAATTGACTTTCCCAATTTAGTAAAGATCTCAGCAAAATGTAGATGTTGTCTCTGTAGTTGTATGGGCAGCATTGCGTACCAACATTAGAATGGCTAGGGTTTGAGTAGTGATTCAACCAAGAGCAAAAAAATTAAAGAATTCTAATTTAAATATAAAATTCTGGTTAATTTTTGTTATTGCGGTCATCCATTTGCAGTGGATGAAAACATGATAAAATATTCATTGGCCTTTCGTAAGCATCTTCGGCAAAGAACTGTAGAAGTAATACGTTGATAATAAAATGTATACCCTTAACGTCAGTTACCAGATCTATTTTTTCATTTCATACCTACAGTCTCCGGTCCTGAAACCTTCTGAGAGACACCACAATAGGTTATTTCCTTATATTTTGAATTCTCACAAATTTAAACCTCCTAGTTTTTTTTTAATGCCTCTCGTTCCCTTCTTCAACTTTCGGTATCTAGCCCATATCGCATGCAATGAGGCTGAGGGTATTGTTGCTAGAGAAACAGTTCTTTGTGAGCTCACTGCGATGGTTCAATCTCCATCGCTCTCCCTCATCTTTCGACTTTGTTTGCATCAATAGTTTCGTTGTCGACTGGAGGTTCGTTGCTTCAAATGGCGTCCCATCGTTTTCATATCCTGAATTGCTGAAAAAGCCGAGCAGATAGGGGAAGCGCAAATCGAGTTGAAAGCCTTTTGGCTGTCTCTTGTGGGTGCAGCTTTTCGAAGGCTAGTTTTTTCTCAATTTATTGATGTGCATTCTCGGTTTCACTATTTAGAACACGAACGCACATTTAAAACAATGATGGAATGTCTACGACTTATCACAACTACATATTTTCGAGTCTCCGGAGTGAGCCAAGATTGCAGAAAAACATCGGTTTAATGCGGATTATGAAGAGATGTTTTTGACCGGCCTGAACGATACAACTCGGTGCGTACATTGAGGACAAAAACTCAAATAGACGTGCTTAATCATTTCTTCACGTTCCTGTGGCCAAAAGCTCAATTAATGAATAGTCTGTGTGGATTTGCTATCTCCTGTAAATATCGGTAACAGATAATCAAGAAGAACATATCTATTATAAAGAGATTCGTCAGGTTTTTTAAAGAAACCTAAGCTTTTTTTTCTACTTTTTTTACGGAATATGTCTCATATGGCAGCACAAAGTGCCACTGCACCATTAGCTGCAATCCAGAGCTGGATATTGCATTTTTATTTTACTCGAATATTTTTTGATGTAACTTTTCGCGCTACTTGCAACTTATTTATTGATTGCTTGTCAATCCGATTGGCTTATTCGCATGGGTGACTATTTCTTATATAAATAAAAAATATATTCTACAAAAAAAAGATGCTCAATCTTTATACTACAGGAAGTTATACGGGTTCTTAACAAATGATTTGCATACATTTACACACAAAAAAATGCAATATATTTACAAATATATGGCATATATATTATATACATACAAATATACTCCCTTTGCACTGCAGTGAGTTTAACAACAATCGGCGGAAAAAAGTTATATTACACGAAAGTCGTAAATCCCGTTTGCAATCAACACAATGCAGTGAAAGCAACTGCAGCAGCAACAACAAGCAACAATAGCAATAACTGTAATATAATACTACGAGTTGTGAGGGCTCACATTGATCCATATTTTTTTATCAATATTACACTGAATGTATGACTGCAATGCTCAAATGCAATTTCCAATGAGATTTAAGTTTATTCATACATACATATATATATATATATATATATACATATTTAAAGTGCATATGCATTCATAAATTCAACTGCATGTTTATTGAAATGGATTTCAGTGGGCATTTACATGCGTGTGTGCGTTAGCGCCTCACTTCATTTATGCATATGCAGCCTTAAGGGAATTTCAAAATTTTATTTTTATGCACATACACATGTGTGAGTCCTCTGCACATATATAGGTATGTATGTATGTATATTTAAAGTATTGAAAAATATTTTATTGCAAATACTTACATAAAATTACAATTCTCTGCACATATGAGACGATGCTCCCATAGCAGCTGTTGTTATGTAGATCCGAGTTTTTCGTTTTTCCTTTCGTTGCTATCAAAACGGCAGCATAGAAAACAAACAAACAAGCTTGTAGTTGTTGAATACGGTTTGGTTAAATTTGCATTGCAGCTAATAATAGTACATACAACTGCGTAGCAAACCAGACTCATTGTACTTTGCGAGCACTGCTTCGAATGCGCAGGAGCTAAGCATTAAACGAAATAGATTAGTTGGGAAACACTTCACAAAAGCTCGATAGTACTATGTACGGGTGTCACATGAGTCAACAAGAAAAGCTCTCATAGAACGAACTTCCAACTGCAAATCACTGTTAATTTGTAACAAAACCGACGCATTTGTGTAGCGGTTGGCCAACCACCGCCATGAATGATGAAAAGTGTATCAATTGCACCAACTTTAGGCAAAGGTAATCGCGGTCGAAGAGCAGTGAGCTAAACCAAATATCCTCGTAACCTGCAACTGGATTATCGGAAGGAAGATTTGGCCAATAGTGGTAAGTTGGACAACTCCATACCAAATACAACGATTGTGGAGGGCCCTGCAGGACGTGAGTACCAACACTTCCTATCTATAGTGAAATAATTTACTGGTGAAGAATCGTGAAAGTTAATATTCTCAATTTTTTGCCTATAGGGATATACAATAGATTTTGATCAGAGATGCATTTTGGCATTACCTTCACCAAGTTTCACTAACCAAAGGAGGCATATTTGAAAAAAAACAGCTAAATCTAACTTTGAGAAATAAAACCTTCAAATCAACGCAAAAAATATGGATTACTCTTCACTAGAACTAAATACATGCATGTATATACAAATATGCCCCTACTGACGTCAGTTCTAGAATAAGCAACAAATTGATATTATTTGTTATATGTTTTGCGACATCACATACAAACTCATGAGAAAGTTTCAGATACTATTGTTTCCTTTATTGTTGTTATGCTTATCTATTATTTAAGGACATTGCACCGCAATATGACGCATTCGAAATAGAAATTCAAGTACTGACCGCAATGTACTGCAATAACAGCAATAAAATGCATATAATAAAGATTTATTCGACCGTAAATAATATTTTATTTCTTCGATTCTTTCTTTCATAATATCCAAACCAAAAACAAAATACGCAAGTATCAAAAATTAATGCAATAAGCGTACGTTAGGCGCCAAAGCAGCCGGAAGTGACTTCAAAATGAAACGGAACAATGAGGTAGCCAAGCATAAAGTATAACAATAATAGCAACAAAAACAAAAGTGTTACAACAAAAACATGTATAAACAAAAAATGGCACAATTATTTCGGCATAAAATTTACATTGAGAGAAAACAAAGAACGGAGCCCTAAGAATGCACCCAAAAGTGAATGAGAAGTATAACTGTCATAAAGTCGTTGATGAGAGATTAAGAGATATTTACGAAGGAATTAAAAAAAACATGCCAAATCCTTCTCTTCAAATTTTAGAACGATTACTAAAACAGAGACGATAAAACGCAAGAGAGCTGAGATTAGGTCAGACGAAATGAAACCACCAACGAGCTTTGGCGAAATTTAAAATCAATTAAAATACTCAGCGAATGCCAAATTGCATATGAAAGGATTGCATCGTCTTTAAAGACTATTCTTAAGTGGTTCCAAAGATTCCAAACCGGGCATTTCTTCCGTAGAGGGCACGCTGCGTGAAGGTCGACTAAAATTTTTTCACTGATGAAGTCACTGTAGCTCTGGTGAAGTCCAAAATTGACGAAGACCCACAATTGACACAAGAAAGATCGCTAGAACTTGAGTTAGAACGCCATGCAAGTATTAAGTAATCATCTGGGAAACATGAAGAAATCTGCACTTGAAAAAAAAAAGAAAACAAACTGAAATATTAAGCTGTGGTCATTAGTGAAAACTAACAAGAGCAAAGGTTTAAATTCTAGTTGGCAGAGTATTGTGTGTACTGAACTTGTGATTCAGCATACGCATAGGTGTATACGCGAGGAGGTAGGTTATGTCATGATGTATGCGTATAAAGGTACTTAACTATGTTTTGTTGATACAAATGCATATTTAGCTGCTTTCCAAGCAGTGCTATATCGCGACCTAAAGTTAAATTTAGGTGAAGTGTTTGTACACTACATCTACAGGGCCATAACTTTCTTAGGATTCATTATTTGTAGTTATTTAGTTACGTATTGGTTTTTATTTTTATTTTTTTAATTTTTTTTTTTTTTGTAAAAGTAGTAGTCATACAATTTTTTGTTACATCGTATTGCGAAAAATATCAGTTTACTACTGATGCATTTTCAGTGAAGTCATGCCGATACCTGTTTGTCTATTTATATATATAAACTATATATATGTATATATATATATATAATTTCCGACTTTTATCAAAGTATCATTGCGACCAGCATGGCGTATGAGCAACATTTGCTGCTTGCATGTCTGATTGTTATTGTTATTTTTCTTCGCTTTGGAAAAACGTACGAAATTTGAATCTTGCATTTAATAGTTGCCTTGTGGATCTACTTGTACACACACATACATATGCTCATGTAAATATGCGCATAACCTATATCTGACTAATAAATGGGAAATATTACAACACTTGCATGCTCATAATGCTATCTTGCTATGTGGCATTTTCAAGAGCAAACTGCATAATTTACTTAAATAAATTCTGCACGTATACACATATATAGGCGACATACATATCAGGCTTCGGTCTCAATGTAATCACCACTAAAAAGATCTAAATATTTTTTTTTTGGAAATCTTAGTAAACGAGTTGTTTGCCGTATTGTTTACATTGCGGAGGGTCATGGGTCTTGGTCAAATTAATAACTTACCGTATATATTAGAAAAATAAAATAACTAAAATAAAATTGATTTATTTAATCTGCTCTGCCATGTGTAGCCTTACAGGAAGACTATATACCTTATAAATAAATAAAAACAAAATGCTCTTTAGATGTCTGCTTCTCCTCAGGTGGACTTGTTGCGGAAGCCAAGTTGTTTGCCAAAAGAGTTCGGAAGATGTAATTTTGTTATGATTTCCACCTCATTTTTGATTATGCATACTTTTAGGCACTTGCGAATGTTTTCGATACTCATATGAATTTGTACGCCGGATATTTTTTGTGAGCAGAGAGTTTCCGAAAATTGTAAATAAAACGAAAAAATTTGTAATCACCTTAAATAATACGCTTAATTGTCCCGTTGGAATGAACTCATGATAAACCAAAGCTCGAATATCTTGAAAAAACGATCAGCGACTATGAAGTGGCTTTTGCGGTTTCGGCTCTTTTTTCTCCTTCCCTTCCGATAATTGTTGGCTTGCTTGCATTTTGTATACATAAGCCCATGTCCCATAATCAGCTATAATACCTGCCATGCACGTGGGATCAGAATCGGTACGATGCAGCATGTTTAAGTGCAAGTCTCTATGGTATTTTTGCAAAAATTATGGGTCAAAAATGGACGAACTGTTCGCGGCCGATTTGAGCTTATATGTCATCTCTCTAAAAACGTATGCCAATTTTCGAGCACAATTTTTTTAATTTTATTTTATTTTATCGTCTGTGGTAGATGTTTAAAGACGAAAGAAATAAGGCATATCTTCGGCGGTTTCTCGACCGTCCTTAAAGACTTTACAAGAGTCGTAGACTTGAGTTTTCGATAGAAACACAAAATTGTATGCAATTTCTTTGTAAAAATTCTTTTATATTGTAAAAATCGCAATACTACTGAGGTCATCTATTTTCAACAGCTGCAGCAAGCAAACTAGT